CTCTCACCTTGAAAACGCCCGGATTATAGTCTTCGGGAAAGACAGCAGCAGGCAACGAATTCCAGTCCCTAGCTGTTCGCATTATAAAAGAGTCATCGAAACGCTTAGTGATTCTTTTGAAAGAAAGCCGCCTACATCAGGCTGTCTAGATGGACTTGGTGAAGTCTTTTCTAAACACAAGAACAATGCTAACAATGTTAAATTAAATAGTCACTAAAAGGCCATCCAGTCAGTGACATGTTGAACTAATCGCAAGGATATGACACTGGTCTTTTTATATGTAGTGCCACTAATATCTTGGCCAGTTCATTCATCTGTTACAAAGACGCAAGAACCATTAGACTGTCGAAATTGAGGAAAGAAAACTCGTTGAAATAAAAACTTAATAAATTAATAAATTGTGATTAAATGGTTTCAATTAAATAAAATCCTTGTAAAAGAATCTCTTTCCTACTACTAATCACTGTTCTTAATGTCTAACAATAATATCTACTTGTAAATAAATAGGGTAACAAAATGGAATCATTATACCAGCATTTTCCTCTTATTTTACTTTGGGTTGTAAAATCCTGGTTTCATCGTTTATGAGCTATCGGCGTCAGATATAACTCAATCGCTCAATGACAAAGCAAGCCGATTGAAAGAAGAACACAAAGTTGTTAGCTGAAGAAGAGCCAAAAATCAAGCTTCTCTGAAGAAATTTTAGGTCACTTGACGCTCCGTTTCAAGCTTAAAGGTGGCGTTACATAACTGGTACACTTGCACGCCAGTTCCATGCACATACCGTTAAAAAGAATGCAAGATTTTTACAGGAATGTGTATCGTCTTAAAACAGTGGGGTTCTCATCGTGACTTTTCAAATCTGGTCTGATGCAGAACATGCACTTCGCAAAATATGAAATTTTCAATACTAATTTTATAGAAACAAACTCTTCAGCCCTAACCATTGAATAGAAGAGTACGCATTTTGCGAATTACCTACTTAAGGTTCGGCCAAACCAATGCGATCACACGCGATCAGCCGGCGTGCAGCGATGGCGACCTGACTTAAATGCATTGATCGCCATCGCTGCACCCGGCTGATCGCGTGTGATCGCGTTGGTTTGGCCGAACCTCAAACTTCCGAAGGGCCAAGAAGAAGAAGAAAGGCCAACGTCAGACCCTTCAAATCACTCGATATCCCGGCATCCCCAGGCAGCGACTTTCCGCGTCACTTGATCCGTATCCACTGTTCTGCGAACCGTACGCCGGCACGCCAACCTAATCAGCCGACAATTAAGCCGTTTTTTCCTACGGTTTCAAACAATTAGCCACAACACTGATATATTTCTCGTGATTTCATTGTTACAATACTCCGCTAATGCTTGTTCTAATGACTTAAGTAAGACTATCACAACTAGACCATCTGATACGGTAATGTAATTAGTATTTTATCACTGCGCTCGGATTAATATCGGTTGAGACCGTGAGAATTTGAGATTAGCACAAAGAATAAGTTTGAGATGCGACTCTTATATATAAATATTTTTGGTAGCATGTAAAACAAAACTGTCATGATATGGACCGTGATTTGACGCTCACATACATAATTTTACATACAATATTAGTTGTATGTATGAACGACAGAATATGTTTTGGTAAATGTGAGATAAAACTGCTTAGTAGAGCACGTGATTTGAAACTTATAAGCATAATTTTACATACGGCAATATTTTTGTATGTACAGACGACAAAACGAAGGTTTTGCAACAATATTGTAAAGTCTGATGATGTGCTGTCGATTGATTGTTTTCGTTATAACACTTTCAACTGTTCATATTGACCGTTTATCACAAGTTAGACCAATTTAACCTATCCGTTATTTCAACGACGGTGGCCTTTCACTGAGAATACGTAATCTAATTTTAATTTCATATTTAGTAGCTGATACACTAATAGATGATTAAAACCAGGTTTTTTTATGCACTGCGACGCTCCATGAAGCCATTTTAAAACTGCTTTTACCGTTGTATCTCGAAATCTACAATATCTGCCCTTTTTCAAAATCAAAATCAAAATCAAAATCAAAAATATTTATTCAGTTTAGACCACAAGTGGCACTTATGAACGTCAATAGAAAATAATAAAAAAAGAAAAAGGTAGCCCTTATGGGGCACTTTACATGTCTCCTTATCTTTTGGGCCCTACCAGCGCTTCGAGACAAACATATGGCAAGTGCTGAGAAGAAACGCCGGAACAAACTCAGTCACCACTTATTGCCAGGAATTATCTAACGGTAAGAATAGTCAAATTTAAGTACATCAAATATGTGCAGACTGAACTGACCACGCATCCTTGTCATCAATATAGTCTCGAACCTTGTAGTACCCTTTGGACATAAGGGTATTTTTTATATGTATCTTAAATTTGTTTATTGGCAATTCGACAAGGTTGTGTGGTATTTTGTTAAATATGGTAATACATTTCCCCAAGAATGAATTACCTATCTTATGCAACCTAAATGATGGAACAGCAAGTTTATTCTTATGTCTCGTGTTAAATGAGTGGACGTCACTTTTCTTAGTAAATAAATGTATATGTTTACGGACATACATAATGTTATCAAATATGTATTGCGAAGCCACAGTCAATATATTGATTTCTTTAAAAANCAATATGGGGGCCCCATTGTAATTTACAGTCTAGGGTAATACCTAGAAAGACAGTAGAGTTTATCAGTTCAATGCGTTCATTATTTACTGTAATATTAGTATTAACTTGTTTGACATTAGGCATAGTGAATTTTAAACATTTGGTTTTTTTTGCGTTTAATAGCAAATTATTAGTTGTAAACCAGTCTAATACTTTGGAAAGAGCATTATTCACGTCGTCAAATATTTCCTGACGCCTGTCAGTTTTAAAAATTAAAGAAGTGTCATCAGCAAATAATACTATCTCACAAAGGTCCTTTGAATAAAAAGGTAGATCATTTATATAAATCAGAAAGAGCAATGGTCCCAGTATTGAGCCTTGGGGCACTCCCATTTTTAGGGGGGCGCCCGAAGAGTTAGTTCCGTGAATATTTACTTTTTGTAATCTGTCTGAGAGGTAAGAGTGTAATAGGCTTAAGGCCTTGCCTGATACGCCATAATGTTCTAGCTTAAATAACAGAGTTTGATGATCAACACAGTCAAACGCCTTCGATAAGTCACAAAATACACCAATAGCATCTTTTTTCTCCTGCCAAGCATCGAAAATGTGTTTGATAAGAGCAACCCCTGCATCGGTCGTACTTTTCCCTTTTGTGAACCCATATTGTTTTTCATGAAACAGTTTATTTAAGTTAAAATGAGACAGTAGTTGATAAATTTAATTGCCATGTTCAGTGCAAATTATTATCATTTAACGATATCTTTGTATCGGGTCGGGCTTCGCGTAGGGTTGCCAGTGTACGGAAAAAATGCTATCAGGTTGTTTTATTTAATTAAGAATCCAGTTCATGTTTTTCCAGAGCCGTAATTAGCGTCCCAAAAATTCATTTACTGGCATCAATTTTAAACCCTCTATGTTACAATGTATGTCTTCAGTACACTTACTTATCTATTTTATTGAAAATCCCTGCCGAGCTCATAGGTAATTCAAATAATGAAATTGAATCAACCATCAATGCCATCAATCACCATAATTTGAAGTGACTTTTACTTTGACTTTCGATCTATATTGAACTGTATTTCATTCACATCTCAAGAAGTAGAGTTCATCCAGTTTTATACCGTCTTATCCAGTTGTTTTTATTTAATATCTCCTTTGCCTCTAGACTAGCTAATTCCCTCAACTTAACTTGTACCAGCCCTACCCGTTGAAAGCTAGTGGTGCTTACAATTTCTTTACGTTTTATTTTCTGAACATTAATTTGTAGCAGAGCGCCATACATCAAAATAGTCATTAGCTTTGTCTAAATGTTCGCGTACATTAAGAACATACACTCTATCCTATAAAGTCAATTTAACTGCACGGTGTACCTAGGCGGCAGTAATTACTAGTATTATTATAATAATCACAGTTATTACCTGGCTAATTAAGGTAAAGCCCTAAAAGCAGGGCTTGTTTAGAGACTAGATAACGGATAAACATACTTAAATAGATATGCCAGACATGATGACGTGTACTTTTAACGGCTGATGTATGTACATAAGCTCCTGTTCAAATTAACTTTTGCCTCCAGGATTTGAACTCACAGCGGCTGTTGCAAAGTGAATTGAAAGTCTTAGGTGACCCAGAAGAAATCTGCTGACTCCTGTAAGTTTTTAGGAATTGCATAAAAACAGTTACAGGCAAGAATATGTAGAGTTTTTATGCCTTGAAGTTTAACTTTCCCCCAGGACAAACTTGACCTTCACTGGTTGGGTTTTTATTGGCGGTCAAGCTGTAGATCCTGGCTACACAGGAGTTGCAGAGGTGGGAACGAGAGGTGGGAATAGTCCCGTTTTAATGGCTTGAAGTTAGCGAAATGTTTATTGTCACTATGATTATACTTCGCTTCTCTACCATGTCATTAAGTTCATAAAATAAAAGGTAAGTTTGGGTTAAGTAAAGAAACAAGAAACCCCAGTAAAGATGAACTCCCGCCTTTTAAACAACGTTTTACGAAAATTTGTATTCACTCGGGAGTCCATTTACTCCGTTTTGTCAGCTATGCGATAGATATAGTACTCCTTATGGGAGAAAATTCAATATTCAGCAGTGAACTACTACTAGCCAATGATAATGAAGAAAATTAAAGCTTAACTTTACAGCTATCTTACTGGGATAAACTTGACCTTCATTGGTTGGGTTCTTATTAGAGGTCAAGCTGTAAATCCTGGTTACACAGGAGTTGCAGCGGGGAGAACGAGAGGTGGGAATAGTCCCGTCATGGAAAGTGATGACCAAGTCGAATGTCGAAGCGACCTTCACTAGGAATCCTTAAACACAGAGGAACTATTTGATAATTATGATGAAGGAATAAAGGAGGTACCAACCTGCGTCTCCGTCAGGCTCAAGGCCTGGGCTAGCTGCTTCCTCTCAGCGCCCACCACGTAGTGGTTCTTCTCAAACGCGTGCTCCAGCTTGAGGAGTTGTGAAGGTGAGAATGCCGTTCTGATCCTCTTCGGCTTTCTGAAGGGCTGCAGAAGGAACCCTGGGATGTCTGGGCCTGGAAGAGAAGATAGGGCAAATGAGACTCCTGTTAAGCTAGAATCGAGTAGAATGGTAATATATGGGAATAGTAGAATGGAATCAGGTTATTTAGTCTCCAATACAGGAGCGAGACCCTCTAAACCAGATGCAATGGCTTTTGCCCTTCATCCCTTATACTGGCACCACTACACCACTTAAAAAGTGACAATCACAAAGAACAAAAGAAGTTGGAACGAAACAATTTAGGAGGTCCATTTTTAGAATACTAGCCTATTTTATGAAAAGAACATTAATTTTGAAAAATGAAAAAATTTAGGAGGTTTTATGATCTAAAGAAGTTCTTTAGATTTGTACCCCAACGGCCAATATTTCTTTATTAATTCTATCTATACGCAATATTTTTATCACTTAAGGAAGGAACAATACGGAAAGGATCCCTTTTTACCTTCTATTGTTCCTTATGCACTAAATAAACATTTTTCTTTATTTCTTTCAATCTGCGCACTACTGATCCACTTAATCTCGCTCAACAACACCCTTCACTGGTAGAACCATTATATTCAACTAGCTTTCTGCCCGCGGCTTCGCCCGCGTGGAATTTTGTCTGTCACAGAAAAACTTTATCGCGCGCGTCCCTGTTTCAAAAACCGGGATAAAAACTATCCTATGTCCATTCCCGGGACTCAAACTATGTCCCTGCCAAATTTCATCGAAATCGGTTGCGAGGTTTAAGCGGGAAAGCGTAACAGACAGACAGACAGACAGACAGAGTTACTTTCGCATTTATAATATTAGTTGGGATATAGAAATGTTTTATTTAAGCCCGCATAACTTATCCGCTATTTCACTCTTATGTACTACAAGGGGCTCAGCGTAAACCACCTTTACGGAACACTGTGATAAATGCTTCATAACACACCATAATC